ATTTTGCTTCAGAAAATAAGTTTAAACGATCAAAGTGAATCTTTACACAAATCAGACTGATTTAATTATCAGGCTTATAAAGTTATATGTCTTTGCCTTGTTTTATGAGTGTGCAGTATAATACAAATGTAATTTCATTTAAAAAATAAGCTTTGATTTGCTTTTCATAGAGATTAGTTTATAAGAACTTCTTAAATGTCATATTAGCTTACTAAAAAGATAAGCTAAGATTACTTCTAAAGAATGTCTAAGATTAGGAAACATATAAAATTTTTGCTCCCCCAAACTGAACTATAATTGTGACAAACCTTTTAATATCAACAATAACTATGTTCTGTCATGTGTCAGCTTAAACAAAATTTCCAATGTCTTTAAGTACTTTTGTCTTAAAGTGTGTGGAAAATGTGAGAGAAGACTGGAAGAACAAAAGTTAAAGACTTGGAGGAGGCTTGTGGAGCAGAGAGACATGCAAAGAAGCTGCTGCACTCGCTTCTGGGCCTTGGTCTTGCACCAGGGACTTGGGAGATTCGGAAGGACACACTTGGAAGAGATATAGGTGAGAGACCTGTGGGGAGGGTGACAGTGGCAGCCTTTATCTTGACTTGTACTTTGCTTTTGCACTTTTCCTTTCTGACTTGCCTGGCCCCTTCTGTCCCTTTCCTATGATTGCTCACCAAAAGGTATCTTAGACTTGTGGCAAGTTTTGGGGCCTTAGTAGCCCTGCTTTGAGCAACCCTGTTTGGCTGGATATTTACCCACAAGGGGATGGATAACTTTGGGTGTCTCATTGGGAAACTACATACTTTCACTCCTCTTCTTTCTATGCACCCTAATTTTAATAATCCCTTTTCTACTGAAGGTCTTAAAAGGTTGAACTTTTAAAAATTGTGGGTTTGCCAAAGGGAGCTTTTTGGGACTTGCTTTGTATTTGCAAAAATAAATATATAAAGAGGTACCAAAATTTGTTAAAGTTTGGGCAAAGTTTGTATAATTTTAATGGGTTTATACATGAAATATTTTTGAAAATGCATAGCATAGTAAGAAATTTATTAATGTAAACTAAATTCAGTGTATGCTTACAAAAAGTAGTAAAAGGTTACTTATGCTCAGAAAGCAGATATTCAGTACAAGAGTAACTTTTTTGCTTTATAATGACAGGGATAAATCCTTCATATTTACAATGACTAAAAAGAGTTCCTCATTTCTGAATGAATTAAGGTTTATTTTTTTTTATAAAATAACATACTCTGGCTTTTCAAGTTGAGTAACAGGAAACACTCATTGTTTTCAAGCATCTGTGGTGCTTTATTATTTAAATGGCAAAATCTACTTTGATTAGTTTTGATTTTGCCTCCCCAAGATCAGATTCTAAACTGCAAAAAATAACTTCTTTCTACGATATCTTTTATATCTGAACAATTTCAAATTTTCCCCAGAGGAGCCCATTCAAACACACAGATTTGTTCCTTAACCACACAAAAGGAAGAATGTTAGAAATAATTGGGTATGTCTGCAATGCCCCTTACATAAAGATAGCACACTATCAAGAATTGCACAGGAAGAAATTCAGCTTTTCAACCAAGCTAATTCTGTACAGGTAAAATATGAAGTTGAGAGACTGCACACTTGACAGAATGATCCTGAATACAAAACAATATTCTCACTCTCTACAATACATTCTTATCCACAGGGGAAACACTGATTAAGTAAGACCAATGCCGATGCTCTGATTGAGGATTTTTAACTCTCCTTGAAAATACTGTTTGTTAAATTAACCACTAATTAGCTATAGCCACCTACCTTTATTTTTATCAGTTTCTCTGCTTTCTTCTCATGTTTACCTAAATACTGCTTAAGTTAAAACTAGAATGTGCCTTCAACAAGGCAGTCTGGGAGCCTTGTGGACAGAACTTCACCAGGCACTCTTTCCTCTTGATATTTCATAGATCAACTCCTGAGAAGATACTAGGGCAATGAGTGAGATAATTAGTACTAGGCAGCTAAATCAGATTTTGAGGATTCCTTTGAGTCCAGAAAAAGGTGATTTCATGAGATCAAGTTAATGTCCCAAGATGCAGAGGAATAAGAATTATGTAAATCTAAGTGGACGATACCAGAAATAATTTATAAATGTGAGTATGTGTTTGACAAATTATTGTTAAATATTTTAATTTATTTTCTTATGGGGGAAACTTTAGCATTCATCTTGATCTATTTTTTTTAAAGATTTATTATTTATTTATTTATTTATTTACACAAGCACTGGGTACAGTCAGAAGTGCGGGAGGGTGAGAGAATTCACCAGAGCCAGAGCGGGGAGCAGAGCAGGCAGAAGGAAGGAAGCACACTGCTGAGGGGAGCAGTGGGCGGCAGGAGAAGTCTGCGCGCCATGTGGGACCCACCTCCGGTGGCCCGGGAGCAGCCGGGGATCGAACCGGCGCTGCAGAGGTTGCCGGCAGCTTCGCAACCCAGCGCTCAACCACTGTGCCACCAGGGAGGCCCCATCTTGATCTATTTTTAATGTTTTATTTTGTTACTCTGATTTTGTTAACTAAATGAACTTTCTTTTAATAGTAGCTTGTTCTCCTTAGTAGCTTGTTCTCCTTAGCCCTAGAATTCAGGAAGAAATATTTTTTCCTGTTCACTTTTCTTTTTAATGACAATATTATACATAGGCTCAATAAGGATCTGTCCTCCCTTTTCCTGGAATGTTAATCAGAAAAACTATGCAACTGAGGTCAAAATGAGAGTGTCATATTTAAAAATAAGTTTCATTTCACCAGATGGGACAAAGCCCATTATTAAGGAGAGTTATAATTTTTATATCTGGGGCCTCCCCTGGTGGCACAGTGGTTGAGCGCTGGGCTGCAAAGCTGCCCGCAGCCTATGCAGTGCCGGTTCGATCCCCGGCCACCGGCGAGGGTCCCACATGGCGTGACAGACCTCTCCTGCCACGCCCGCTGCTCCCCTCAGCAGTGTATTTCGTCAGTCTACCTGTTCTGTTCCCTGCTCTGGCTCTGGTGAATTCTCTCACCCTCCCGCACTTCTGACTGTACCCAGTGCTTGTATGAATAAATGAATCTTTAAAAAAAATTTTTTTTTATATATCTGAAGCCAATGTCCACAAAACTCTTCCCAAAAGTTAAACTAACACAGTACTAACCTAAAAGGCAGTAAGGAAGGTCACTTCCTGGATTGTCAGGAGTCTTAGAGAATATGGGAAAACTAAAGGAAAGAGAAATTCATCAACACTGACCAGGGCTAAAGATGAATCCTGATGAAGACAAATTTCTTGTGTTTGGAACAAAAGAATAAATAAGGGCATTTAAGGAAGATCTCTGGAGTAAGAAAAGCCATTGAAATGTTCTCAGTTTCCTTAATAAATCATCAGATAGAAATTTATTCTCTGGCTTTAATTTTTTTACTTTATTTTAGCCCAGATCAGGACTAGGGGATGGTGAACCAGGAGGCCGAGTAGCTTGTGAATTGAGCTTGTATCCCCTAGCTCTCATACCCAGAGGCACTTTCATCTCCCTCAGCCTTAGCTTCCTCCTCTGTAAAACTGGCTCAATAGTCCAAGCTTTGTCTCCTGCCTTTATAATAAATAACATCTTGTGTTCGTTGCAGGTCCCCATGTGCTGGGCACTGTTTCAGCATAGCGTGTACTTACTACAGCAGTCTTCTCTCTTGTTAGCACTACTATTTCAGAGGGGAAGAAACTCCAAAGAGGTTGGTTGTTTGCCTAAAGTTGCACAGCTGGACAGCAAAGCTGGCCAGACAGTCCTGGGCAGACTGGCTCTAGAATATGCTGGAAGCTTATTACTTGCCAAATACTAAAGAAGAGGAGGGAAGGAAAGGTGCTTTTTAAAAATTCTCTGGCTTTATTAATAATATTTGTTCAGCACAGTATAGTGCTGGATGTTTTCCAAATACAGAAAGGCTTTCATATGCTCATTAAAATTTCTTTTGAATTTATGTCAATGAATCAAGCCCAAGTACAGTGTCCTTTTGTGACCATTAAAAAAAATCTTTGGAAACCTATGGAATGCTACTTCAATACAAATTTTTTTCAGATCTTTGTATATTATTTTTGATAACAAAAGGACCTATCTTACTGGAGCCCCATCTTACAGAACCACCTACAGAATGCCAGTTTCTCTAGGGATACACACAATTGTTTTCATTCACTATTGTTGATTAGGATATTCGGAAACTGTTAAGTATAGACATTAACTTAACAAAACCACTAAGTGATGCAAATAGTTATTTCCCCAAAATTTCAAACAAATTCTGTCCTTTATATAATAGTTGCAAATATTTATATAATAGATGCAAACCACTAAGTCATGCAAATAGTTATTTCCCCAAATTTTCAAACAAATTCTGTCCTTTATATAATAGATGCATTATAAACTAAAGGTTATCATTTCATTAGTCCCACAAGGCATTAACTAGTTTTGCATGTGATTTAGAATTTTATTCCAGGATACTTTCTTTCAGTAACTAAAATACTCTCGATAGTCTTACTTAAAATCAACTTTACCATCCTGAATGGTACCCTCATTAAGGAGATAATTCACCATTAATCATTAATGAATAAAAATAATCTTTGCCTAATCCTGATGAATCGTAGTTTCACGGATTATTTCTATCACACCATGCACAAGCAAATTTGATGATACAAATAACACAAATCTGTATTTCCTCAAAGTCTGAAAAGAAAAGTCTGTAAGACTTAGAAGAAACAATAAATTCACAACTACCTTTGTTAGAATTTATACTTGTGAGAACTCTTCAGAGAAACTTAACATTAGGCACGTAGAGGCCTTCGAATTAACCATGTGTGACTAATAGTGATCTGGAAAGAAGGAGAGCAGGAGAACTTCTACAAAGGGACAGTAGTAGCCAATGACATGGAAATCTGACATGCACACATATCCTTGAAGTTTGCTACCAAGAAGCTATTCAATGAAACTGAGGGCAAGTGAGGTGAAGATTACCAATCGTTCCATCTCCTGCTCCCTGAGTCTCTCTTCCCTCTGACGGCGGTGATAATCCATCAGGTCGTCCTGTCCTGAAATGGAGCTGATGCTGCTTTTCCGTTCCCGAAGAATAGGCTGCGGGGTTCCCGAGGCCTGCCTGAGGCTCTCCAAATCTGCATCATCCAACTCGACAGATCCACAAGAGAAGTTTCTCCTGGTGCCAAATACTCTGTCTGATTCTCCAGAAGGAAACAGAGGAACTGGACTAGTCCCAGAGTAGGAAGCCCTGTCAAGGTCATCAGAGGCACAGGAGGAGGTGGAGGCCAGGAGCATCTTTCGAGCCACTCGGGGACTTGCAGGGACGCTGAGGGTGGAACTCACATAAGGATTTCCCTCAGACACAGAGGTTTTGTAGGGTAAAGCCCCTGAGCTGAAAGAAGAAAAGTTCAGGTAATTGTCATTGTCTATAATGCTATGAGGTAGATCCTTTTCTCCCAGTTTCATCCGCTTGGAATTGCCCAGAGAGTTTCTCGGGGGCAAACTGAGAGGTGTCAGCTGGTTCTCATTGGCCCGGTACAGCCTGGGGAGGGATCGGCTATAGGCACCCATGTGACTCAGGCTGCTGCCTGAGTACTTCCTAGTTCTTAAGCTGACGTTTTCAGACGCTGGCTCCCTGTGTCTTGCCAACTTGTGCTGAAGTGCCAGGTTGTCCTGGATGCTCATTTTCCTGGCTTGCTTTGGGCTGGAAGGCATGCTGGCCGCTCCAGATCTGCTGATGGGAGAGGAGCCAGTGTCACTCAGGGAACTTCCATTCCACATGGCCAGGAGCGAGCCGGACACCTTGCGGCCTTCCAGCCCTCCGAGAAAGTAGACATTGTCATGTGACTTATTCCTTGTGCTATATTTGGAATAGGGTGGCTTCTCTGAGAGTCTCAAGGACCTGTCACTGTCCCGGCCAGCATAATGATCAAAGTCCACTCTCCCGACGGAATATCCGCTGAGGGACTGTGAAGTGCCAAGCAAAGGAGCGGGAGATTTCATGGAAATATTCTTGTCAATTCCATCACAAGAGAACTGCTTGCTTCCCTGTATTTTGGCCAAGGAGGGGCTACTTCTGACACTGGTTCCCAGAGGAGAAGGGCTTCTCTTAGCAGGTACAGATTGTGAGAGGGTTAAATAAGAGCCAGAATAGTCTCCATTGGCTCTAAATCTCAGACTGGAAGAATATTTCTTCGGACTTAGACTCTCCATTATGTTTTGGGAATCGTTCTCGAGGGGATTTGTCACCAAGCTTGCCTCTAAGCTACCGTTTTGTAAATCCAGTTGTTTTTGTATGTGGCTATGCTCTGCCATAATCTTGTTGGAATCTGTAAAAGAAACAACAGAAAGTTTTACTTATCAAAAATGACTTAAAAAGGCCAACCACTTGTCAGCACAGTCTTGCAGCTTGGCCCAATGTAATTAACAGACACAAACTCTGTTATAGTAATAAACCTAGTAAAACCATACTGTAAAACGATGACAAAGACCACTGATCTGGAATCGTTTTTATACAAAAGAAAAATAATTTGAGAGGACATCAATGAGATTTGACACAACAAATCCCTAATCAAGTACAGGTGCAGGATTAGGTTGATACATAAGAAAGGTAATTCCCCTTTAGGGTTCGAGCAGGACCACCTGCTTCCTGAGTACCCTGCAAACATCCAAAGGGGTGATGCAGTGAACCTTCCTTTAGATGTCTCTGCTAAAATCATTAACTTGGCAGAAGTAAAGTCCTAAGGAAACAAAACTCTGGCAGAGAAAAAAAAGTTGGTTGGACAATGATCAATAGCATGAGTGTCAGATAATGACTCTTTAAAAGGGGGCTTTAAGAATTATCTTCTTAACAAAAAGACTTAATAAAGCTCCTGCACCCATCAGAAAAAAAGCAGGTAATAATAGACCAAAGAGTTTTTCCCATACCAGGGTGAGGGTGAAGTTTTTAAAACTTAATCCTGATGTCTCTTTCAAGTTCCCAGGAGCCCCAAATGCGCTACATTCACCCTGGATCTCAAACTCTCTCCTCTAGTGTAGCATCTTTCCTCTCTTCAGCGCCTATGCGAAACCACCACTTCTCAAGATTCTGTCCTCCATGATTCTATAAAAAATATATGCAGTCCTAAGATAGTGTAAGGACAGGAAGAACACAGTGCAGGTTTTCTGATCCAGCAGACCGGGTAAAGGAGGAGTCCTGGAACCCTCAGTGGCTTTTGCAGGCTTTTATTGGGATTCACCATGTACACGGCAGGCCTCCCAGCCCCCAGCAAGTCTTTACTATGGGCTCTCCAGTCTTCTCTCACATTCTCTCTGCTCTTCTCATGGCTCTGCTTCTCTCTCAGGTTCTCTGCTCCTGCTGGCGTCCCCGTGATGCCGCCCTTAAAAGCCTAGTCTTAGCCCAGGTGAATCCCATCTACCTACCTATGCCCACACCCTACTCCAGATGCCTGCCATCAGGCATGCATGCAGGACCTCAGGGTTCCGTCATCTATCCTGATGGTGGGAGGGCAGAAAAGCCTGATACTTTTTACCTTACCTTACAGATAGGTTTCAAAGTCTAGTTTCAACAAATTAAGAAGCTAAAGGTTCATTCTATGAACATATCTTTTAATTACAAGTTATCACTGCAAACATGAAGGTTTATTCTGATAAAGACTTTGTTTTTATCATTATCAAAGTGAAAACAACTTAAACATTCCCATTGACTCAGGTACTGTAAAGACTGTCCTCCAACTCCTCAGACACCTCAGACACTAGTTATTACATCACTGGTCTGTATAATGTGTCACTTATGTTTAACCATCAATTTCATAATGTTTTTGTCTCTGTAACTAGGACACACACTTAAGAAGAGGACATGTCTAGTAATTCTTGCTTATCTTCCATACCTCCTGATCCCACAAATTGAAGGTTCTCACACTGCCTCCTAAGATTTCAGGTGCCTGTCAAAAGCCCAAGTTGCCACCCACACTTCTGACTGAATGGCGATAAATCAAAGGTTGCCAAGACCTCCTCCTCAGGTTTGATTAATTTGCTAGAATGGCACAGAGAACTTAGAAAACTCATATACTCACTAGATCACTTATTTATTTCAAAGGACCTATCTCAAGAATAACCAGAAGGAAGAGATGGATAGGGCAAGCATAGGAAAGGTTAAGAGTGTCCATGCCCCCTCCAAGTGTACAAATCTTCACAGGCTCATCAACCCAAACACTCTCTGATGTCCCTTCCTCTTGACTTTTTATGGAGGCTTTCATAGTCATGACTGATTAACTCATTGGTCACTGGTGAGTGACAGTTAATCTCTGGCCCTTCTTCCCTGTCCCCTCTCCTGAGGGTGACAAGGCAGGTGAGACTGGAAGTTCCACCTCTCTAATCACAGATGCTTCTATGGAAACCAGCACACAACCTCAGGTGTTTTCTAAAACTGACCTTCATTAACCTAACAAGAGATATCTTTATCACAACACATAGGAAATTCCAGAGCTTTTGGGAGTTGTGAACCAGGAATTGTACACGAAAACCAAACTAGCATGGGAAATATATTTTGGTCGGCTTAATGAGCAAATGTATATTTCTTACAAATCACAAATTCACAGGCAAAAATGTTAAATATGCAAATTTACCTTTTCCATATGTAACACATCTATTACAGAAAACTACAAAATCAAACACAACATCTTCCTTAATATAAAGGGAATGAAGTCGTTATAAGTGTTCAGAAATTTGCTAAACATAGTTTGGACAATATTAATGTCCTTAGTTTTTTTTTTTTTTTAGAAAAATGTAGTTACTAGCATATTTCATTATTCCTGCATATTATATGGAAAAAAATTAAAATCTCCAAGTAGTTGTAGGTATTTCATTCATTAAATAGATCCCAAGTGCCTACCACACATCACACAGTGAATCGGCAGCTGTCAACATTATTCACTATTATTCTTGTTTTCCTTCTTTCAGAAACTATAGAGTTGCCATTCTCATCCCTGTGACATTAACTGTGGCTATGTCCCTTGCTTTGATCAGTGAAATCTGAGTGACATGGTTGTTCCAAACTGAAACATCAAAAGTTAGAGCATGATCCATTTCCACTCCCCTGCAAGACGACTAGCATGCAGCTCCTCAGGGGTGGAGTCTGTTAGCCTGCATCCCTCCAAGAGGGTAATATGAAACAAGGACATTGCCAATCCACCAAGGTCTAAAGGCACTAAGTCTCAGGAATCCCTTCTTACCATGAAGACGTTAACCTTCATTAATTGCCCCCCATAAACCAGATTCTGGGGTTGGCACTGGGAAGGACGTAGTCAAAGACACCATTTCCTGCCTTTTAACAGCTTACAGTCCAAAGGGAAAGACTTACACATGAACAAATGATTGTGATACACTGAGATGCTTAATATAGGATTGATTGACAAATTGGCAAAAGAACATGGATGGTTGCTAACCAATAGGTGTGCTAGTCTGAGGATGTTAAAATACAAAGAAAGGACAATTAAGATAAGTCTCGCTGAAGGAAAAGGGGTCTGATGGGTATTTTTCAATGATATCAAAAAGTCACTTCCACACCTAAAATTTTATGATTTTAAAGGACATAAACAAAATCCCAAGCCATTTGAAGTCTGACTATGGGTATATCCAGTAAACCTCTTGTCTCTGACAAAACAGGTAACAAACATTGTGTAGGAAAAAACGAGTTATTTTCTATACAATCATCCTTAAGTACTAGGATGTAAGTCTCCTAGAATAAATTGTATTTTTAAATCATATATTACTCTCTTATAGAATCCTTTCCTATTCCACCATTGTGTAAGATATGCCCTAGGGGGCCTAGCCCTATGCCTACCTTAAGAGTGGTTAAAATTGCACCGCAAACCTCCAACCATTTGGAATGGTATAGGCAAAGATATAAACAAAAAAACTCCATGAAGGAGATGTTAAAATACAAAAGAATAGAATTAAAACCCTGAGTGTGGAAGATTTGGTTTGAAAATTATGTATAAGGGGCCTCCCCGGTGGCGCAGCGGTTGAGCGCTGGGTTGCGAAGCTGACCGCAGCCTCTGTGGCGCCGGTTCGATACCCGGCTGCTCCCCAGCCACCAGAGGAGGGTCCCACATGGCGCGCAGACCTCTCCTGCCGCCCGCTGCTCCCCTCAGCAGTGTACTTCGGTCCTTCTGCCTACTCTGCTCCCCGCTCTGGCTCTGGTGAATTCTCTCACCCTCCCGCGCTTCTGACTGTACCCAGTGCATATATAAACAAAAAACAAACAAACAAACAAATAAATAAATAAACATGCCTCTATAAAATTAAAAAAAGAAAAAAGAAAATTATGTATACAAGATGGGAAGCAGCAGGAAGTTAGAAACTATGTTTCCACAGTGTGCAGAGACAGCCATCCAGAAAGCAAGCCAGAGCAGACGTGATTAAGAGAAAAATCAAAGCCGTGCACTGAACCCAAACTCTGCATTTTACATATTTACTTCCATAGAACGAAGTTGAAGAGTTTAACACCTTATATCAAAATGGACTTAAAAGTTTAGTTTTTGACTGAGATGATAAAATATTATATTAGAACTTGTTTGCAGTTGCAAATGCTACTTAATCACCCAAATATTACCAGATTGTTTCATCTTTATTTGGATCAATAAAACCATAGCATTCTCAAACTACTACAGATTTCTTACCACCCTACAAAGTGGTAACACTTGGTTCCCCTCTCCTCCTCACACGTTTTTTTTTCCTAAATCAAAAAAATATCTAATTACTGAAGCAGTTTGCTTCATTAAACAGAACGTCAAAATATTTCAAAGCAGTATGGGCTGAAAGATCAGCTTCACAGTTGCTACAAGAGACAGCAGCAGAGTTATAAATTATCTACATGGGAGGAAAAGGGGTGCAACAATTCTATACCATACATAATCACAGAAAAAGGTTATAAGTGACTTGAACAGACAAACATCATAAAACATTTTAAAAGGAGCTTCATATTTTATATTCCAAATTTTCAGTTTAACTTTACTGGGTTTAAGGATGTGTAAAAGATTGTGCACCGAAAGATTTATCATCAAATACAAATAGGGTATTCACTCATTCTCCTTAAGTTAAGTTTACTTGCTACAGCTAAGTGCACATGGACACGTCTCAACTTGGTATCACTTAATCCCACAAATAAATCCACCTCAAAAAGTTAAAGAATTGTCACACAGATGGCCTTTGTGACCCCAGGAGTAACAATAGTGGCCACTGATATAGCTCTCCTTCTCTACTTCCAGGATATTCTTTACATTTCAAGTGAGATCACAATTAGAGGACAAAAAATGGGAAAAGCATA